GAGGGTACACGAGTGAGCTTGCAGGTCGCTCCATTGACGATACAAAAGACCAGAGGCGCGGCATACGCAAACGATTCAGACTTGGTTGAGGCTTCAAGTTGCTGCTCCGACACGCAGATGACACCGCCGGCAACACCCAATGGCCCCCGAAAGGATTGCACTTCGAACCTCGCCAACCCCGTCTTCCACAACTTCTTGCGGGCTTTTTACCCGTTCCATCCCAGCAATGTCATGACCGACTCGACTGTGACATTGCCACTAAACGTGGGAGATGTGATCCTGGTGCACTCCATCCACACCAACGGCTGGGCTGATGGTACCCTCCTCGCGTCTGGGGCGAGGGGCTGGCTGCCGACCAACTATTGCGAGCCGTACGATCCAGACGAAATGAGGAGTCTCCTCAAATCCCTGCTCCACTTCTGGGATTTGATGCGCAGTACTTCGGTGAATGACAGCGAGATGTTTGGCAACCGGGAGTTCATGAAGGGAATCATCGCTGGTGTTCGCTATCTCCTGGTAGGTCGTGGTGAGCAGAGACCGCATATTGAGCTGCTTTATCTGATTCTTTATGTAGGATCGAACACACTGTCTGACTCGGGAATCAGCCACTGTCCAGAGGCACGATGGACTCCGGCGAGCCCGAAAATCGCTGCTGTCAGAGCTGTCCTCGCTGGTCAAAACGGCGAAGCGGGTACAGGATGCGCAGGTAATGCCTGGCACCGACGACATCAACGACATTGTGGATGAGATGATCCTGAAAGCGTTCAAGATCATCATCAAAGGGGTGAGGTTCTTGGATATTCTAGACGACGATCGGAGGTCACGGGTACCGGCAGTCACCGTTATGACCACGCTACTGGAGGAAACTTACATCCCCTTGGCGCCACCAGCTAATTCCAGTTCCTCCGATACCTCCCAATATCATCCCGATGCAGACGCCCGTGCGGCCGAGAATGGTGACACTTCCGAGCGGGCGACATCAGTAACATCTGGTGTGGTACAAGACCAGGCTCCCGCCAGCAACCGTTTGTCCGCGAATTGCTCGCGACAGACTGCAAACGCCCGCCGGTCGTCCCAAAACAGCCTGCTGCAGACGAACCGGTTATCATCAACAATTTCACATCGTGTCAGTCTGGTCGGTCTCCAGTCCTACTCTCGGTCGCACAACCTTGTCTCGGAGCGCCTCAATACGTGTCACGATATCTTCCTCTCGCACCTCGGGTCCTTCATCGGACAACTACAACTCCAGTCGCACTCGCGACCCAGCCTTGCCGTCGCGATCAAACAATCCGCTACGTCCGGTGGGGAGCTATTGCTGGTGGTGGACGTCGTCTGCGCCCACACCTCGATCAGCATCAACGCGTTAGACCAGGCTCGTTCTGCCATGTACAACCGCATCCACGATCTTGTGCACACAGCACGCGATATCCTCACGAACCCCGGACATGAGATGGAAGAGGATATAATTGTACAGCAGGACAATGGTCGCCTGTTGGGAGCCGCGACTGGGTGTGTCAAAGCCACAGGAGAGTGTGTTGCGAAGACAAGGTGGATAATCGAGCGGATTGGCGACTTCGAGTTTGAATTCGAGAACAGCACCCTTGGTAGCGACTTCGATCTGTCCGAGTGGACCTTCGCTCAAACCGACGGGGCCAGGAACCCCGAGCTGGCAAGCATTGCCGAGTCAGCTGTATCCGAAACACCAACAATCCCAACAGTTGCGCCCGCGACCGTGTCGGCTGCCACAAACGCCCATTCCTTCGCAATCGACAAGCCGCTTCCTGAGATCCCGCAAGTTCCATCTCCTGTCTCAGAACAGCCGGCGTTACACCCGTCGGTGCCGTCCTCTCCGTCACAATTGTCTATCGTTGTCGCGGATGCTCCAGCCGTGGCCCCAACTGTAGCTTCCGTTCGCCTCGACTTACCGCCGCTTCCGAAGCTTTCCACCTCGTTGTTGCCGGCCGAGAACTACAGCCCCACGGAACAGTCTGCGAGACATGAAAGCGAAAGCGAATTCCACTCATTCCGGTCGCAGAGCCTGACTGCGTTGAGCTCTGGTTCTAGCAGCACCTACATCAGCCGCGATTCGGAATCGAGTCTCATATCCCAGACATCGACTCGTGCAACCACACCGGATATCACACAAGCACCAAAGAACCAGCCTTCCCTGTCAGACCTGAGCGTGGCAGGCAGTTTGGCCGCGACAGAGGATGACGACGTTGAGTCGAGGCTTCTCGAGAAGACCTATGCCCACGAGTTGATCTTTAACAAGGAGGGCCAGGTAACAGGCGGCTCCCTGGCTGCATTGGTCGAGCGCCTCACAACACACGAATCCACCCCTGACGCCATGTTCGTGACCACCTTCTACCTCACCTTCCGCCTCTTTTGCACACCCGTCACACTCACGCAAACGTTGGTCGACCGATTCGATTACGTTGGCGAGGCCCCCCATATCGCCGCTCCGGTGCGGCTGAGAACCTACAACGCATTCAAGGGTTGGCTTGAATCGCACTGGCGGGGCGAGACGGATAGCGAGGCCCTTCCTCTGATCAAACAGTTTGCCGAGTCCAAATTGGCCGCTGTGCTCCCATCAGCAGGAAAACGTCTTCTTGACCTGGCGGAGAAGGTGTCAGTGGTCGATGGGACCTTGGTACCACGCCTCGTGTCTTCCATGGGGAAGACCAACACCTCGGCTTCTCAATATCTCCCAGCCGAAACTCCACTCCCCCCCCCGGCAATTTCCAAGAGTCAACTGCACGCCTTGACCAACTGGAAGATCGGCGGCAGCTCCCCCTCTATACTAGACTTCGATCCTCTCGAAATCGCCCGTCAGCTGACGATGCAGCAAATGACGCTCTTTTGCTCCATCACGCCGGACGAACTGCTCGGGTCAAAATGGACGAAGCTTGGAGGGATGGGTGCGTTGAATGTCAAGGCGATGTCGTCTTTCACAACCGGGTTGTCGAACCTCGTTGCCGACACCATATTGCACTACGAGGAAGTCAAGAAGCGGGCACTTGTCATCAAACACTGGATCAAGATAGCGAACCAGTGTTCCATACTCCGCAACTATGACGCCCTAATGGCCATCACCTGCGCCCTTACCGACACAAGCATCAAACGCCTCAAGTTTACGTGGGATAGCGTCAGTTCCAAACGCAAGGAGATGCTCAAGACGCTGCAAGCCACCGTGGACTTCAATCAGAACTACAAAGTTCTCCGTGCCCAGCTCAACGACCAAGTGCCACCGTGCTTGCCGTTCCTCGGCATGTTCCTTACCGACCTCACATTCGTTGACGTCGGCAACCCAGCTACCAAGACTAGTGACACGGGCTTGACAGTGATCAACTTTGACAAGCACACTCGCACAGCGAAGAGTATCGGAGAGCTACAGCGGTTCCAGATCCCTTACCGCCTGGCAGAGCTGCCGGACCTTCAAGAGTGGCTCGCGTCGCAAGTTGACCGCGTCCGAGAAAAGGACAGGGCAGGCCCCAACGCCCAGGCGACCTACTACCGCAAAAGCCTCCTCCTCGAGCCCAGAGAGACCCAGCAATTGCGAGCACCAATTGAGCCGGCTCCGAGCTCCACCGCAACGGGGAGCAGCATGTTCGGATGGATCAGGCTCAACAATACAAGCAATTTACCTGCGCAGGTATGATCTGGGCTCCGCCCACTGCGTCGTCTGGATCGACACTCTAGCATTTCCCCCTCGTTTCGATATACCCATCCATTTCCTTGTTTCGATTGTCGCGGCGCCTCCCTCATCGACCACCTCAAACACTGTTCTTCGTTTTGCTCGCTACTTATGATACCCATATTTGCATGTTTACTTTCAACACCTTTTTCCTGAGAAACGCAGGGATTGTCGACGATCGCGACTAGGCTGGTTGGCAACTATGCCGTCACCGCGCTGTTTTAGCCGCCCGCTATCGTCATTTCTCCGATCACCTTGATGCTGGCCCCTTTTCGGGCATCTTTCCAGGCTCGGCTTTCACGTCTTCCCGCAAAAATACGCGACAACACACAGCACAAGAAGAAGGCAATACACGAACAGATCCACGCATTGACGGCTCGCAGCCTCATTGTTATTACGCCACCATGACCGGACGATGGCTGGCTCAACAGAAACAGGCGACTGCTTTGTTGGCTAGCAGGATCTGTCCAAACCGCATGTTGTTATTTCTTTTTCTCTTTCTTTCCAGTTTTCCCACGTCCTCTTGAACGACGTGGGCCACGAATGGGGCACGGATGGTTGGCAAAAAGGTGGAGGGACCGGTGTTGGTCCGCCATGGATCACAGGACATGCCACAACGGTGGCCTGGCTTCACTTATGGAACTTGATGTTGTTGCCGGTTTTTTTGGTGATGGCGAGGGCTGTATATGTTGAATTCTACCTTTTGTATTTACTTGGTGTGGGGGTTTTGTTTTTCAGGGTTGAGGGTTGGCAACTGGTACGCCAGGCTGGATTTCTATGGACGGGACCATGGGTTTGAACTGATTGGATGATGGTAGCATTGCGAGGAGGAGGTGGTGGTATTGGGGTCGTTTAGCAGTATATGCCCAAGCATGTGTTGCACATGCTTCATACTGGTCATGCAGACTGATCCTCAACTCGATTTAGGAGCAATGAGCATAGTCTGTGAATCTTGTTCAAACGTGATGTACTTATTATTACCTAAATGCAGGCATGGTATTTACTACCTAGTATTAGTGAAACCGTGCCGGTATCTCGGCCAAGAAAAGCTACATCCCAACTTTCTCAAGGTCGTTTTAATGTTCTATGGCCCTGCCTCACATGCTGTCCCTAGGGCCGTCGTTCGTGAAACTTGTAGCTGGGGATATAGTCACCTATGTTCCCCCCCTTTACCAAGTGCATCTATTCGATTCATACAGATCTTGAATCCCCTGCAAATCCACCGCCAATTCGATGCCCGATCCTTTGCGATTTGGCCAAGTCCACACACGCATAGACCTGAGACTGGAATCTCATCTTCAACAAAGGGTGCATGGTCTAGTGGTATGATTTTCGCTTCGCATTGACTACGATGCGCCTTCTGTGAAAGGTCCCCGGTTCGATCCCGGGTGCATCCAAACTTTTGGCTTCTGCGCCCCTCGCAGAACATTTCGTTTTTTGGACCATCCGTCATCGTCCGTCCGCCTCGCTCGCTCACTGACTGACTGACTGACACTCACTCTGGCTTTCCTCCTGCTACTAACTATATAAATAAGCCAACTAACTCGGCGAAATCATTGAAGATTGATAATTAGTCCCCCAACAAACAGGCCGCCAGCCACCATGGCCCCCCGCTCAGACGAAGCGCAGGCCTTTTTCCACGCCGTCTACAGCGCCGTGCAGGAGATCCCGCCCGGCAAAGTCACCAGCTACGGACACATTGCCAAACTCGTCGGCACACGTACGTACCGCAACCGTAACCCTGTCCCTGTTTTCCTTCATCTCTTCTCTCTCAGTTTATCCATCACATCGCCAAGTTACTTCTTTCCCCATCTGGGCGCTGCTGTGTGTTGCTTGTGTGTGTGTCCTGTCCTGACTTTGTTGGCCTGCCGGCGTGGAAAGCGCAACGGCCCCGCCAGGTCGGCGTGTGCCTCAAGCACCTGCCGTCGGACCCCTCGGAGCGCTTCAACCAGTACAACGTGCCCTGGCAGCGCGTCATCAACGCCAAGGGGGCGATTTCGCTGCGGTAAGGTCACTAATGGTTGGATCACCATGGTTTTTTTGAGCTGACTTTCCAGATCGCGACCGTCAGCGGCGCACAACCAAGCGGTCGCGTTGGAAGCTGAAGAGGTGACGGTGACGACAGGCGCGCTGGGGGAGCTGCTGGTGGATTTTGGGCTCTATGGATGGTTCCCGCGGATCTTACCTTCGGAGGCGGCACAGGGGATGGTTCCTAGTGATGAGGATGACACTGAAGGGGATGAAGAGTGAAGTCACAGGGGTATTGATTGACATTGACATGGCTGGACGGACATGGTTCACAAGGTACAAGATGGGAACACATGGTGACGGTATGAGGTTGCATGAAACAGGTTTTATTCTCGATCTTGCAGTTCCAAGATGCCATTGCATGGGCCAGGCCCAAGTTGCCAACATCCAGGCCAGCTTCTCTTCTTCCAGTGTGGGCGACCTAGACTTTACCAACAGTTAGCAGCTGGAACCCCCGAGAATGCAAAACAAGTGATTGAAAGGTGATCTCTCAGATAGCGGTTGGACGGTTTTTCCACATTGTAATTCGGTACAGGTCTGTGAACATTCGTTTTCTCATCATAAAAGCGACGGGCGTGAAACAAATAAAATAAAAACATACCAGGTTGTCTGCTGCCACTGCATCCCCGGATGGGGATTGCGTGGCATTCCCCCAGCGATGACCAGCTCTCATTCAACTCTCGGCTTCTTCGACGCAGGGCCAAAGAACGAGTCCAATGTTCTCTGCCGCTTGTCATGCTGGGCACTGCCGATGCCACCTCGAGTCTTTTTCAAGCCCTCAAGGTGTCGGAGCACGTTGACACCTACGACCGAGAGACTAACGCGGTCATGCTGCAGCTGCGGCGACTTCCTATCACCAGAAGCCACAACAGCCGTCACAGCCGCGCCGTCATCACCATCCGCCAAAGCCACTGGTTTGGGTCCAGCCCGCACCACAGCCTCGACATAGCCGGTGTTGCTCCAACTGGCAAGATGCCCCGTCCCGGATCGGGCCGACAACCTCGCCAGCTCAACCGGACCGAACCTCGCCAGCAGCACCCGCAGCAACACGTCGAGCACCAGCCCGTGCGCGACAACCACAACGAGAGCCTCGTGGTCAGAGCCCGCTAGCAAAAGCGGCTCCAGATGGCCCCGCACAACCCGCTGTGCACGGGTACGCATCTGCTCCCGCGACTCAGCGCCGGCAAGAAGAAGCGACGAGACCCCGAACTTCTCGCCCTCTGCCGAGCCAAAGTCCCGTTCCCTCAGGTCTGGGAGTTGGACAAGCTTCAGCGGAAGCGCCCCATCGCCACCGCCATCGTTATCGTCAGCCGTCAGTGAAGAGGCCTGTGCATCGATGACGGCCTGCGCAGTCGCCACCGCCCGCCGCAGGTCCGACGAGAAGATGTGGGTGGCCGGCGGGTGCTGCGACGCGAGGTAGGCGCCGAGGCGACGCGCCTGGAGCACGCCGTGCGAGGTGAGCGGGGAGTTGCGGGTTCCTGCGCTGGGCCCGGTTAGATGGGTTGGTTCCGTGTGCGTGGGACGGTGGGGGAGCAGCATACTAGAGGCCAGCGACGTTGTCGACTGTTTCGCCGTGGCGGACGAGGAAGAGCCGCATGGCGGGTCGTTGGGTTGACCAGAGCAATGGCAGTGCCTAGGACACGCGCATGGTGTTTTTGGCCGGCGACGGTCGCCCTGGCCTTGCGTGTCGCGCGGATTGAGGTGTTGCTCAATTGTGGGAGGAGGAAAAGGTTAACAGGGCAGAAAATTTGAATTTGTAGTGCAGGGCTGGTGGATAAAAGAGGAAGGCGCAGGGTGGGGTAGATATGAGTTGGCTGGCCAGCGGGTGTGTATCAGGGTTAGGGCTGGGGCAGATGGCGTATTGACATTACCCCTGAGTCTGGGCTAAGCGATGGTGCAATAAAGCATTTCAAGAGTATTGAGGTCGGCGAGTAACAAGCGTCCGTCAAAAAGCAATGCATGCTGGCCTTAAATGGGGCAGGTGTTGATGCTCAGGCCCTGGTGCAATGTGGTGAAGAGAGCATTTGCTTCACGCAACCCCCCGTTGAGGTCCCATTCACCAGTAGCCAAAGCCACACAATACAACCCCCCGAAGAGCAAGGTACCGTTCCGGGTGCCGTACGCAGCAACCTCTACCGCTCCTGGCGTCTATTGTTTCTCGCGTCCCGAATGTTATCCGGATGCCACGGACACTCCTTCCGATGCGCCCTATTATCGCTCTGCAAGATCTCCTTGTAGTCCGCAAGACAGTCCCAGCAAAAGGCGTGCTGACACCTCGTACCTGTTCGCATGATCAGCAACTGACCAACATCCCACAGGAAGCATCCCGACATAGCGGACCCAGCAACCGTCAACGTGCCGCACCCGAGACCCAACCCCCCAGTCATGGCGGCCCACCCGTGCAGCGGACGCTGTGGCGGGCGTTCCAGACAGCGTTGCAGCCCCAGCACCACTGGCAGCGGCACTTGATACCTGCGACGACGCGGTCTTAACATTGTGTCCGAGGGGAGTGTCGTGTGTCTCCACTCGGAGCAGCTGAGGCACGCTCGAGCGTTGCAATAGGAAAGTCGGCCAGGAAACGGGGTTGGCTTACACGTCATATGCGAACTGCAGCCCGTCAGTCAGTCAGTCAGCCAGCCAACCAGGCAAAAACACCCCCCATCGGGAAAAGAAACAGAGACTCACCACCCCGCATTCTTCTCAATCGGCGCCTTGCATCCCGGACACGGCTTGGTGGTGCCGCCCACCGTCCGCTCGCTGGCCTTGTCCTCCCTCCGCCGCCGCGCCATCTCCTCGCGCCGCCGGCCCTCCTCCTCCGCTTTGCGCGCCGCCATCTCCGCACTCTCCGGCCGCTCCCTCTCCGCCGCGCGCCGCTCCCTCTCCACCGCCTTCCCCCTCCCCCGGACCCCGCGCCTCTCCTCGGCAGCCACAATCCCGCGCGCAAACACCCGGTCCGCCTCCTCCTGCGCGCGCCGTGCCTCGCGCACCCCATCCACCCCATCCACCCCAGACCCTGGCCCAGACCCTGACCCTGACCCCCCCGGCGGCCCCGCCACCAGCGCGTCGTACTCGTCGCACGCCAGGCCCTCGTGCCACGCCACGCCGTGCGGGAAGCAGCTGCGGTGGCCGCACAGCCGGCACGTCGCGATGGGCTGGGCCGCGCCCGAGCTGTGCACCTGGCCGTAGCCGCACCCGGCCGTGCACCAGAGGAAGGCGGGCGAGGCGGCGAGGGTGGCGCGGAAGGAGAGGGTCTGGTAGCTGAGGAATGAATGTTTTAGTTTGGGTTTGGAGGAAGGGGGGAGGAAGAGAAAAGAAAAAAAAAAAAGAAAAAGAAAAAAAGGAGGGTGGCGGGGGGGAGAGGGGGCATACCGCTCTTTGGTCGCGTCGTCGGCGAGGCGCTGCACGTCGTCGTACTGCAGGGCTGCGCGGCACTCGGGGCACTTGATCTCGTTCCAGACGCGGGTGTGCAGGTCGGTGCGGATGGAGGTCGCGACGCAGACGAGGCAGGTCGTTGGCGCGTGGTCGCACGCGGCCGTGATGGCGGCCGCGGGGAAGGCCGAGACGGGCTTGGTGTCGGTGCAGACGACGCACTCGCGGTCGCCGCTCAGCATGTCGGACAGTCTGCGCTGGTGGGTGATGACGACGGACGAGGTCGCCGCGGCGACTTGGTAGCGCTGGCCGAAGCTGCCACGCGCGGCGCGTGTTAGTCGGGCTGTGCGGGCTTGCACGACAGGCTGGTTACACGTACCCGAGGTCGTCAGGGGCGGCGCTCTCCTGGCCGCGCAGAAACGCCACCGTCATGGCGTTCTGCTTGTCCTCGATGGCGGCCTGGTACGGGTTGTTCGAGATGGACGGCGTCGCCAGGTCCGCACTCGTCTCTTCCGGGGGCACCTCTGGAGCTGCATCGTCTTCCGTCACCCCCCGCCGCCAGGCCTCGATATTCTCAGCGACAGATGGGAGGGCTCTGGCGAGAAACCAGCGGGATCCGCGTAGTGGCGGCGGGGCCTGGCTCGTCGCGGCTGGTGTTGGGGTTTCCCCCGTCTTCTTGGTCCTGCTGTTCCCTCCGTTGGTGGCGGTTGCTGGTGTGGCGGGTGCCTTCTGCTCGTCGTCGCTGAAGCCCCCGAGCAGCGCTGTGTTGAACGGCAGGTAGCGTAATAAACTCAAGCCTGGGGTCCGGGGGGTGGAGGTTGCCGCCGCCGTTGGCTCGTGGACCTGGACCGGCGTCTCGTCATCCTCCCACTCAAACCCGCCGAGAAGTGCCGGGTTGATGGGCCCATAGTAGGGCGTTGCAGGCGGTCTTGATGTCATGATTGTCGCAGCATTCTTTGCTCTACCGAGGTTTACAACTCTGGAAATACTGCGACGAGCT